AGGCTCTCACTCTTTTTTTCCTCTTCCTTGCTGCATTTGTTCTTCGTCCAACTTCCTTCTATCGGTCTTTATTTTTATTCATTCAGTCTCGCTCTTCTCTCACGCTGAAACGTTCTTATTTTATCCTCTTCACTCGTTCTTGGCCTCCTTCCTCCAATTTTCCTCTCTCTTCATCTCAATCTCTTCCTCTCTCAGCCTCTCTTTCAGCTTCTAACCTCTGTCTCTGTTTTGCTGCGTTTTTCCTATCGTCTTAGTCTCTTTTTTTTCGATCCAGCCCCTGTTTTTCTTCGATTTTCCCCAGCTTTTTATTTCAGTTACCCAGCTTCTCCTTATATAGAGAATGGAAAAGGTAAATCATTACTCTCCTGCTCTGCTTCTTCTTCTTTTTTTGCGTGTGTGTTACATTTCTGTTGTTTCTTCGTTTTTACCTCTGTCTCGTCCCTTTTTTTCTGCATTTCTGCTTCTATTTCTTCTCACTTTTTTATGCTGTTCCATCTGCTTTCTTTGCTATCCCATCTTCTGCATGTGTGCGTGCATCCTTGGTTCTGTTTCTTTTGTCCTGCTAGTCGAAAGCATATGCATATGTGTTCTGGTTGCTTGCTATTTTTTTCTGCTCTGTTTCACTTCTTCTGTGCCCAGCTGAAAGTGTGCATGCGTGTGTGTTCTCTTTTTTGCGTTGCATGTGTATGCTCTGCATGTTTTTGTTTCTCTCATGTGTGTGCTTGTTTCTGCTGTTTTCTCCTTTTCCTGCTGTGTGGCCGAAAGAGTGTGTGTGTGTACGTGTATTTCATGAGCCCTGATACTGCATGTACCTGTTCCTTCTTCTTTTTCTTTTTTTTATTCTTTAATGCCCCTTTTTTTTATTAATTAGATTGAGGGGGAGAAAGAAAAGTCTAATTTTAAAACATATATTTTTAAATGAAAAATAAAAGATTTAAGGAGAAAAATTTAAAAATAGTTGAGTCTCAAAGATTGATTCCCATTATCTTTGAATTCTTTTTTTGAAAATATAATCCTAAAAAAAGGATTAATTTTTTTTTGTATTTATTATATTTTTTGATTATTATTATTAAAAAAAGAGTCCAGATAAAATACGGTGTTCATAGTTGCCCCTCTTTAAATGTTTCTTATGTAAGTATATGAAAAAGTGTGTTTTTGAATTCTTACATAAGTGACAAGTAAAGATAGAACACGTATTTTGTCAGCCATGCAATATCTATGAAAAGACCTAATTGCCCCTAACACGACAAGATATGATTAAATGCAAGGCTATTGCCAACACAATGGCATGATTTTTTTTTAGCAATATGATGCAAATGAAAATAACCAAATAACATAAAAGAATGCAAGACTATAGGATAATAAACATAATAAAATGATTTTTTTAGCAATGTGACACAAATCAAAATGATCAAATGATGCAAAACTATTGGATAACAAACACAATAGCATGATAAAAATTTTTGGCAATGTGATGTGAATGAAAATGACTAAATGACAACGATCCAAACAAAATATATGTTGACTAGATGCCCCCTCTTCATTTGATTTCTAAGTGAGAATTTCATGAGAAGATATTCTTATATTAGAAATGAATGAAGAGAAAAACATGTATTTTGTTTGGATGGGCAAGACGCTTAGGTAGCTAAAACTAAACAAAACAAAACAAAATAAAACAAATGATTTAAAATGAAATGTGATTTAGGAACTAAACAAAACAAAACCTCAATGAAGATGAATTGCCTATGTTTCAAAGGACCTGGTGGATGCTTGTCTTTACAAGGCTTGGAGGGTGCCTGCTATGATAAGGCTTTAAAGAATTGTGTTAGCTGGTACTGGGCTTTGGGGTGCCTGTCGTGACAGGGCTTTGAAGGTGCCTACCGTTACACGGCTTTAAAGAATTGTGCCAGTCGGTACTACGCTTTGGAGTGCCTGTCGTTACAGGGCTTTATGGTGCCTGCTGTTACTGGGCTTTAAAGAATCATGCCAGCCGGTACTGGGCTTTTAAAGAATTGTGCTAGCCGGTACTGGGCTTTAAAGAATCGTGCCAGCTGGTACTAGGCTTTTGGGTTGCCTGCCGTGATAGGGCTTTAGGGTGCTTGCCATTACAGGGCTTTTAAAGAATTGTGTTAGCCGGTACTGGGCTTTAAGGTGCCTGCCATTATAGGGCTTTTAAAGAATTGTGCCAATCGATACTGGGCTTTTGGGTTGCCAGTCGTGACAGGGCTTTGGGGTGGCTGCCATTACAGGGCTTTTAAAGAATTGTGCCAGCCAGTACTGGCTTTGGGGTGCCTGTCGTTATAGGGCTTTAAAGAATTGTGCTAGCCGGTACTGGGGTTTGGGGTGCCTGTCGTTACAGGGCTTTAAAGAATTGTGCCAGCCGGTACTGGGCTTTGGGGTGCCTGTCGTTACAGGGCTTTAAAGAATTGTGCCAGCCGGTACTGGGCTTTGGGGTGCCTGTCGTTACAGGGCTTTAAAGAATTGTGCCAGCCGGTACTAAGCTTTAGGGTGCCTGCCATGACAGGGCTTTGAGGTGCCTGCCGTTACAGGGCTTTAAAGAATTGTGCCAGCCGATACTGGGCTTTGGGGTGCCTGCCGTTACAGGGCTTTTAAAGAATTGTGCTGGCCGGTATTGGGCTTTGGGGTGTGAGAATAGGTTCTATCTCACGTGGAAGATATAAGAAACTCACAGGTAAGGTTTGTTATTTCTTCTCTTATTTCCTTATGTTTTTTTTTGTTTTTATTTTTTTTATTTTGGTTTGCCCCAATCTAAATGAGGTGTGTTTCTATGACGAGGAATGCAATGTGGCAATGCACCATGTATGATTTTCATAGGTGCTAAAAATATGTACAACATACCATGGATGGATGATTTGCAATGTAAAAGGTTTGAACCTTTGTTTGTCTCAATTTATGATACTTCTTTTTGCGATATATGCAAAAGGTAAGACACGCTTATTTGCCCTAATGCAAATGCATGAATAATGCAAATGTATTGCAAAATTTTTATTGGAAGGCTTAATGTTGACAACTATCTTAATATTTATTCCTTTTTGAAAATTTTTGTGCATATTGAATAAATCATTTCGAACACAAGGTAATACCTCCAAGTCTGTTATTTAACCTTTATTCATTAATAGGTGTAGTATCACAGTATGTCGTTGCCCCTCTTTAGAAAATTCAAATGACCAAATTCTCATCGCTTGATCTTGCCTTCAAGTTAATGAGATGAACTATTATGACCGAATACTGACAGCACACATGCTCTTATTATCATTTTATACCTACGTGATGATCTTGATACCTCAAGGACCAAAAGTAAAAATAAAGATACCAGCATTTTACGTCAAGTAAATGTATCAATAAATATTATTCCTTGAATGTGAACTTGTTGTAATATATGGGATATGATTCGAATATGATAACATGAAAAGAGGAGAAAGATGGTCTCAAAGGAGCAGGGGTGGAAAATTCATTCTCTAATGCCAAAATTCATAAAGGAATGGGAATATCTTGGTTTATGAGTACAAATGGCCTAAGCACAAATATGTGTATCTGCTTAATCACATCTCTGTCCTTTGGCTTTTCAAAACCCCACAAGCGCTTCACTGAGCTGCAATTGATATGCATAGTATGAGGGACAATGGAGTCAACTTTCCCAAACATAGATACTTAACTTCTTATGCCTTTCTTTCTTCTCCTAAGATATCCTTTTGTCTTGGTGAACTCTTCTTCTTCTTATCATTATTTTGCTTGTTCTTTGCTCTAACTTTTGCTTAGGTTGCCTTTATAGGTTTTTAACCCAACGAGCTATTCTTTCTTTTTCATTTTCTGTTGCCTCTAAATTTTGCCTAGGTTGCCTTTACAGGTTTTCAACCCAGCGAGTGCTTCTTTCTTTTTTTCATTTTCTGTCGAAGCAAAGTAACGCTTGACAGCATTCACATTAATGGGCTTTGCTAACTCTTGACCGTCCATGTCAGCTTGGATCAGTGCTCCTCTAGAAAAGACATGTTTGACAACATAAGGTCCCTCATAGGTCAGAGCCCATTTGCCTCTATTATCTTCTTGGTGAGGGAATATTTTCTTAAGTACCAAATCACCAATATTGAATTCCCGTGGGCGAAGTTTTTTATCAAATGCTCTTGCCATTCTCTTTTGGTACAATTGTCCATGAAACATTGCAATAAGCCTTTTTTCTTCAATCGTGTTGAGTTGCTCAAATCGAGTTTATACCCATTCATTTTCCTCTAAATCTGCCTCAGTTAATACGTTCAAGGATGGAATTTCCATCTCAATAGGTGTGACAGCTTCTATTCTGTAAACAAGGGAATATGGGGTCACCCCTATGGACGTGCGCACGATAGTACGATAACCATGTAAAGCATAGGGAAGCATCTCATGCCAATCCTTATAAGTTACTGTCATTTTTCCAATAATCTTTTTAATAGTTTTATTGGCTGCTTCAACTGCTCCATTCATTTGAGGTCTATATGGGGCTGAATTATGATGCTTGATTTGGAACTTCTTGGAAAAGTTTTTAACTTCTGTTCCATTGAGATTGGGACCATTATCAATAATGATCCTTTCAGGAATCCCATATCGGCACAAAATATTTGTCTTCATGAATTTAAGGAACGTCTTTTGCATGATGCTAGCAAATGAATTTGCTTCTACCCATTTTGTGAAATAGTCAATTGTGACAAGGATGAAGCGATGTCCATTCAAAGCTTTTGGGTTAATTGGACCAATAATATCAGTTCCCCACATTGAGAATGGCCAGGGTGATACCAAATTATGTAATGAGATTGGAGGAGCATTTATCCTATTAGCATAGATCTGACATTTGTGGCATTTCTTGACATACTCAAAGTAATCTTTCTCTATTGTTAACCAGAAGTAGCCACACCTTTGAATTTGTTTGGCCATAGTATGACCATTCGCATACGTGCCACATATGCCCTCGTGTACCTCAACTATGATTTTCTTTACTTCTTTTGAACTCACACAATGAAGTAAGTACCATCATAACCCCTCTTGTACAGAACATCTTTACTGATAAAGAATGTCATAGCCAAACGACAAAGGGTTTTCTTTTCATTCTCAGTCAGTCCTGTTGGGTATGATCTCTTAGTAATATAGTCCTTAATATCCTGGAACCAAGGATATTCTTCTTGATCTTCTTTAACATTTAGACAGTATGCTGGAAAGCTTCTAGCTTCTACTTGAATGGGTTGGACATGGATTCCACAATCAAGTTGGATCATTGCTGCTAAAGTGGCTAAAGCATCAGTGAAACGATTTTTATCTTGAGTCAAGTGATGAAAGCTAACAACCTTAAATTGCTTAATCAAATTTGTTAAGAGTTCTTGATAGGGAATCAATTTTGCATCCTTTGTCCTCCATTCTCCTGTTACTTGGTGAATAATGAGAGCAGAATCATCAAATACCTTCAAACACTGTATACCAAGGGTAATAGCTGCTCGAAGACCATTAACACAAGCTTCATATTCTGCTATGTTGTTAGTACAATCAAATTTTAATTTGATGGCCACTGGAAATTGTTTTCGTTCTGGTGAAACGATCACCGCTCCTACCCCATTTCCATACATGTTGGCAGCTCCATCAAAATACATTTCCCATTCTTGCTCTTTATCATTTCCTTCATCACAACCTTCTTCTATAGTGCATATGCTTTCATCAAGAAATTGAAAATCTAATGGCTGGTCATCCTTTAAAGGATTATCAGCCAAGTGATCTGCTATCGCACTACCTTTGACTGACTTTTGCACCATATGCTTTATATCATATTCAAATAGCACAACTTGCCATTTTAGTACTCTACCTGTAATGTGCGGGCTCTCAAAGATGTACTTAAGTGGGTCTACTCATGAGATTAGCAAGGTAGTGTAGTAAAGCATGTATTGCCTTAGCCTTCTGGTTACCCATACTAGTCCACAACAAGTTCGTTCAATCATTGGATAACGAGCTTCACAATCGTTAAACTTCTTGCTCAAGAAATAAATTGCTCTTTTTTTCTTTCCAGAATCATCACGTTGACCTAGCATTACTCCTATTGAGTAAGGTAAAGTTGCCAAGTATAGGATTAGTGGACGATCTGGTGATGGAAGGACCAAAATTAGGGGATTTAACAAATAATCTTTAATTTTATTAAAGGCCTTTTGACAATCATCATCCCATGTCTCCCTACAATTTTTCTTTAACAGCTTAAACATCAATTCGTAAGTAGCTGTTAGATTGGCAATGAATCTAGCAATGTAATTCAATCATCCCAAGAAACTTCTAACTTCTTTCTCTATTTGGGGAGATGGCATTTCTTGAATTGCCCTCACTTTATCTGGATCTACTTCTATCCCTTTATGACTCACAATGAATCCTAATAACTTCCCAGAAAGAGCTCTAAAGATGTATTTGTTAGGATTCAATCTTAGCCGATATTCGTGCAATCTCACAAATAGCTTTCTAAGGACTCCAACATGACTCTCATTCTCTGCTGATTTAGCCACCATATCATCTACATATACTTCAATTTCTTTATGCATCATGTCATGGAATAGCGCTACTATAGCTCGTTAATAAGTTGCCCCAGCATTTTTCAAACCATAAGGCATCACTCAGTAACAATAAGTTCCCCATTGGGTTGTAAAGGTTGTTTTCTCTTTATCTCTTTCATGCATAGAGATTTGATTGTACCCTGAATAACCATCCATAAAGGAATAGCGATAGCTTCGAGTAGTATTATCGACCAATACATCAATGTGGGGTAGTAGAAAATCATCTTTTGGGCTCGCATTATTTAAATTACGATAATCAACACACATTCAAATCCGACCTTCCTTTTTAGAAACAGGAACAATATTTGCCGCCTATTGTGGGTAAGTTACTACTTCCAAAAATCCCACTTCTAACTGCTTTATTACTTCTTCTTTTATTTATAAGGACACCCTCGTATTCATTCTCCTTAACTTCTGTTTCTTAGGCTCAACCTTAGGAAGTAATGGTATTTTATGAGAAGCAATGCTTAGGTTTAGCCCAGGCATATCTTTATAAGACCATGCAAACACATCTATGTATTCTTTGAACAACTCAATCATTTGTTCCCTTTTAGGATTATCTACTATTTTGAGCATTCTTTGGTCCTCCTCGATTCCCATATTAACCATCTCAATCACTTCTTCATGTGGGCATATTCCCTTATCACTCAATTCAAGCATCTTAAAAAAAGTTTGGATTACGTCTTCATCATCAGACTCACAATCATGCATATCAGTGGCAACGAGTGAATCATCTTCAAAGGGTTTATTAACCTTTGGGTGAGAGATGGAATCAGAAGAAATAAAATTCCTGGATGATGAATATGGAAAGAGATAAAAATAAGGAATAGGAATAGAATGGGGAAAAAAATGTATTGAAGTAGATAAGGTGGAATAAAGAGACAAACATGAATGCAACTGAAATTCATTTTCATAAATTACGTGCATCAAAAGTTTGCATTAGAGAATACCCAAGATCTATTACCTAAACCTGGGCTCAAAAGTGGATAACAAAATAGGAATAACATAATTGAAACAATTACTCTAAGCTAATGACATCATTGGCCTCTTCGAACTCCCAATTTGCCAGAACTTCACTGGAATCATCAATTGCAATTGAGGCACTTGTTCTATATGCTATATCTTTGTTAGAAAAGATCACTAAGATAGTTGGTTCACATATCACCTTGGACGGGCCTGGGAAGGATTCTTTAATGTGTGGAATCTCCAATTTACTGGCCTTTTTACCTTTCGCCAAACTTGCTTTGTCTTTCATCTGGTCTTCTAGGGTAGGCTCACACCCTAACCCTTGGCGATTACAATTATCCAAAACCTTAATTGGACACGTAATTCCTTGTAAATGAGAGCCTAAACCTTTCCCTGGCATAAACCCACTCTTCGTCATGATTTTAGCCACAATGGAATTGATGTTATGAGTACTGTCACAAATACCCTCAACCTCTAAGCTTTGAAAGGAAACTCCATGATCTTTCTCTGCAGCCTCAATATAAGGGAGTGAGCTTGGTTTGCTCACCATGATTTCCTCCTCTCCTTTAACTGCTATAATTCCCCCATCACTGATGAACTTAACCTTTTGGTGTAGGGTAGAAGGAATAGCTCTAGCAGAATGAATCCATGGCCTTCCTAGCAGCATTGTGTAGCTTGGGTCTATATTCATGAGTAGGAAATCCACCTTAAACCTACTTGGTCCTATCTCTAGGGAGAAATAAACGAATCCTAATACTTCCCGTCTTGATCTATCGAATGCTCTTACCACAATATTGCTTTTGTGTACACTCGAAGCTTCTAGTGATAATGATTCAAATGTAGAGAGTGGCAAGACATTTAATGTTGATCCTCCGTCAATTAATACTCTTGCGATTATGAACCCTTCACATTTCAAAGTGATATGCAAAGCCTTGGTTTGGTGGACAGCAGTTTCTGTAACTTCCTCTTCCAAAAAGGAAATGGTGGAGGAGGCTTTTACAACATTCATTACACTTGCCACCTTCTCAGGGGTTATATTAGGTTGCACAAAAGCTTGATTCAACACTTCTTACAATGCTTGGCGATGTGCTTCGGAATTTAAAATTAAAGAAAGTATTGAGACACGCGCTGGAGTTTTCTTCAATTGGTCGACAATGCTATAATCACTTTGCTTCATAATCAATAAAAACTCATCTTCTAATTTTTTCATTTCTTTAGGATTATCTTCCTTTGGCCTGTCCATATTTGCATTTTTCTCTCTTACCATTTTCCTAATATAAGATGGGAAGTATGGTTTTCCACTTCGAGTAACACCCCTTGGGTTTGCTATTTCATTGCTTGTCCCAGCAATCAACGTTGGGTTTTTGTAGTTCTCCACAATGCTTTGATATCTCCACGGGACTGTTCGATCACTTTCATAGGGAAAGGGATGAGGCATACTTATGGTTAATGTTGGCTGTCTTGCGTAAGGTGTATGATCTACAGAGGCTTTATTGATCATAAAAGAGACTGCCTGGACTTGCTGTTTTGGGCTTGAATTAATGACAAGCTCAATACACTTTTTCTCTACTATGCACACTTTAGTGTCTCCCTTCTTTATAGACATAATCCCTAACACCATCATTTTTCTAACAGCTTCTTTAAACTGTTCACAACTTTCTATGTCATGGCCTATTTTCTCCTGATGATATTCACAGTATCAAGGAATTTGATCATTGATATTATTTATAAGGAGCATTTCTTGCATATAGCCATACTCCTTTAAGTAAGCATAAAGCTCATTCATAGGCATCTTGATCCTTGCAGAGCTTTTGAAACCCGCATCCTCTTCTTCAATAACGTTAACTCATTTTTTGTGATTTGGAAGTGGATCAGTGGTAATGGTAGAGCTTCCCTCTTCTTTGAGCTGGATATGATTAGAATTAACCAGGTCTAGCACATTCCTTTTAAACGTCACACAGTCTTCTATTGAGTGTCCAGGTGCACTCATGTGGTACTCACAAACAGCGTTTGGATTATACCACGCTGGGTAAGGCGGACCAAGAAGCTTATAAGGTCGTGGGCCTAATAATTGGGCTGCCAAAAGTTTATGGTATAATTCAGTATTTGTTAATCCAAAATTAGGCCATGGGCGACTATCCCTTGATTGGATGTTTCTCCTCTCTCCATCCTGCCCGTGCTTGTTAGGCCTGAATCCAGATTGTTGCTGTCTTTGATTCCTTCCCTCTATTTGATAAGGGACTTGAGAATTGGTAGCTGCTTGTCTTACAAGTTGAATATAGTTCACATTACCTTCTTTCTTTTTTTGGTCATAGTTCTTTCGTGAACTACTTTCAGCTTGAGAAGTGGCTATCTTCCCCTCTCGTATGTCTGTGTCAATCCTTTCTCCAATTACCATTAAATCAGAAAAATCAGTGACATGTGTTCCTATCATGTGTTGGAAAAATGGCTTAGGCAATGCACGGATGAAATACGAGAAAAGTTCAAAATTCACCATTGGAGGTTGCACTTGTGAAGCCACTATTCTCCATCTTTAAGCATATTCTTTGAATGATTCTGATGATTTCTTGGTTATTGCTTTCAATTGTTCTCTGGTCGGAGCAGTATCAAGATTGAACTTGTATTGTCTCATGAAAACATCCATAAGGTCTTTCCATATTTTAATCTTGGTTTGGTCTAATTGCATGTACCAAGTCAATGCCACTCCAGTTAAGCTTTCGGGAAAGAAGTTTATCAGAAACTTCTCATCTTGTGACCATATGGACATCTTTGTACAATAGGCCCTCAAATGATAAATTGGGTTACTTGTACCATCATATTTATCAAAGTTTGGCATCTTGAATTTCTTGGAAACATCAATTTCTGGGGTCAAGCACAATTCTTTCAAGTCTAAGGAACCCCATGTGTTCAATCCTTGAAGAGCCTTCAATTGATCTTTCATTTCTCCAAGTTCTTCTTTCAACTCCTTCTCTTTGTGTAACACTTGTGGGATTTAAAACATATAGGCATGATCTTCCTCAGGACCATCTGGTATGTTAAAGGCCCTTATCCCAGAATCTTGTTTCTTTGGCGTGGGTACCTTAGGATCTAGTCCTCTTTTGGCTCAATTGTTCTGTTAGCTGCATTCTAATTTGATACAGCATTCTGTGGTGGATTATCACCACTCCTGCCTTTTAGAGTCTCTGTTAGTAGTTTCACCATGTCGCTTATTTCAGCTATTTCAGACTCTGCTGCAGACATCCAATCATTTAAGG